GAGGAAGAAAGAGCAAGACATGACGCGTTGTTCTACAGCCAGACTCCTAAAAACGGACTTGTGTCAGGTTAGTTGCCTAGAGCTTATTTTTTCGTGGCGGGCATTTGTTTTGTATTTTTTTKSMAWWAARKTWTACTAGAAGGCCCTGACACCWTCTTTTTTATGAATTATACTCAGGAGAACAAGCAAGATCGCTTTTTATACGTTCAAGACTTCCTTTATCAGAGCTAAGCAAAATATGGTAAGACGTATATTTTTAATCTCACCAAAACAAATACATTTTATATGATTCTACTAATGCTCGTAAGTGATAAAGATACACTTATTTAATTATTTTGACTTGTTTCTTTTACGATTCAGAATTATAATTCTATTATACAAGAATTCGATTGAATATTTCGTGATTTTTGTGCAATTTCCACCAGTACTAATTGAATGYGATTAGTATTTCAAAAGGATTTTGTTATAACAACGATACTCAAAATTTTAATATTCATAAAACGTAGCAGTTTGGGAGAGTTTTTCTCCGCACTTATATCAATATGAGCAACTTGTGTTCTTGCACCATCATTTTGAAAAGGTCTATAATGAAATAAGTGCAACTACTGTAACGATGAATAGAGGAAGTGTATATGTACAAATCAATCTATGACAATTATTATTTGTATGATATATAAAAACAAACCTGATGGTCTAAGGTCCCTTAGAGCACAGTGGATTACAAAGTTACCATATTCATTGAACTGATGATAAAACAAACAACATTAATGATATGAAATAATACAAACCACATAAAATCTGCAAAAGAAAATCTAAAAAAAACAAAATACTCGCTTACAATAAATCCAGCCAACCCAGCATAAATTTGWACATCTCCATACACTGAAATATAAAGGATAAGACAATAAAATCTACTCTTCTTTGGGGTCTACATTAATGTTRGTCKTGMTGACCACATCCAAAAGCACAGGAAACCCACAACAAGGACARCTAAAAGCACATACTGTCATACAAGGCTCCTGGCTTATTTCCTYCCCCCATTAACAAAATGTTTGAATCTTACTTGGTGGWGTATACAGTGGATGGTTGACAAAATATCCARCAAGAACACCAAATCCCCTGAAACGTGAAATACAAATTAATCAAGAGGTTCTTATATATAAGCTTGCACAATACTGTCCCTACTACATTGTAATCATCAGCTTTGGTTAAAAATATACAACTTAAATGAATAACTCACCAGTAATAGCTACAGTTCTGCAAGAGATAGGGAGACAAAATATCAGAGAAAGAAAAGAAACATAYCAGTCATTCTTATTTAAAGTCCAGTGCACTGTAAGTTTTAATGGCATTAATTCTTCAACTGTGATTATGCATCAATATGTAAGTGTCATATCTATGTATCTGGTTAAATTATGATTATGCATCAATATGTAAGTGTCATATCTATGTATCTGGTTAAATTATGAGCCATATTCAGGCATATTAAACAAATGGTTTCATGTGTCGTTTTTACCTTGAAAAGGTTAAACAATGGCATTGTCCCTTTTGAGAAACGGTGGACAAACAGTGTCTCTAAAAGTCTTTTACCATAGTGCAATGCCCAGCATGCTGCTGCAATGCTGCAATTACAACAAAGATACATATAATTAGTGGTGCATTGAGTGCATGTTTCACTGCAGCATTATTGCCCATACTAAGGAAGAAGAGTAATGAGAACAACAGTCCCTAGATGACACTGCTTTGATGTCATCTAAACATAAGTAATATCCAAAGAGAAATTCCATTTCTTTTTCCTTTCAATCTTTTCTAGAATTCAGTTYTCTTATATTGCTAAATTTTAGATCTAATAGTCTCCTTCACGGTTACCTGCGACATCTTGAAAGGTAGCAGCACATTTACATTGAAGTGAGACAACCATTGAGCATGCAATGATAGATATCTGTGAATAATTATCTGTAGAACGGATGTGAAAGAAGGTTTCTATCATTTCATGCTCAACAGACGTCTCACTTAATTGATCTAAAAGCTTGGCTAACTTTCAAGATGGCACAGGTAACCCATGAAGAAGACTATGGTACAGTTTTGTCTCWTTTTTTCAATTTGACCCTCGCTTTTTTACTCATGAAGGGGTCCAATTTTATACTCACTGTACAACTTTTGCCATTGGTTGACTACTTGCGTTTGCTCCATACACTAGATAAGGTTGTGTGTATAACAAAAGATACAAAACTAATKGACCACTATACTCTAACAGGAAGACCTATTGGTACAATGGAAAATAATACAAAACAGTGCTAAATTTATTATACTAAATTTGTATAGTTTAAAACACGATGAGAGAGTGTTTTATCAGGTATATAAAGATTCGAGCCGAAGGCGAATAATTAATGAGTATGAGAAGTCATTCAAAGTCGGACTTGTCAGACTTTAAACATTACTTAAACAAATTACAATGAAGTGAATACTAACTGTAGTCCAACCAATCTGAGGACCTACAAAAATAACAAAAATAGAATAAATTTGAGTTTTAGAAATTAAATTTTGTTTTTGTACTTTGCACTCTTACCTAAGTCCTTTAAATAAATCTGTGCCTCATCTTCAGTGATTCCAACAGATTTTAGAGTTTCACTGTCATTTAAAGACTTTCCTCCTAAAATTCAAATTAAAAGAAATATGATGGATCATAACAAACAAAATAAAACACACTAAACAAAAATTTAAATAAAATATATATACTTTAACTTTTATATAAGACCGGTCTTACTTGTCTCAAGTCTCAGAGACTGTCTGCTTGGATAAAGCTTAGGTTCTGTAAATAAAAATTACTAAAATATATTAGTATAAACATACTAATGGTCTATCACTCATACTGCGCTGTGATTGGCTACTCTACTAATGGTCTAATTTGTGATAGACCACTCGCGGGAAAATCAAAATAAACAAATTATAAATTATTTTAAGGATATTTCAATTTGTTTTCATTATTTGACCGATTAGTATGTTTATACTAAAACAATTAGACCTCTTGGCCTCGTGGACTACGAGCTAATAGCCCATTCAGCCTCTCGGCCTTGGCCTCATGGGCTATTAGCTCGTAGTCCACTCGACCTCGAGGTCTAATTGTTAATTATACACATACTATACATGTTATGCAACCCTAGTACAAAATGACAGTTTGCCATTTGGCTTTCGTGAAAATTCAGCATTATTATGGGACACATGCAGCCCAGTCCCAAAATCTGAAATTTGTAAATATTATTCTCTGTAAGAGATTGTACATTGATCTATATTATTTTAAATTAGATACAATATTTGTAAACTTACTGATCTGATAGATTTTCTCTTTAAGATTTCCAATTGTTGTCTCTTGAGTGACCTAGATTTATATAAACAGCAAGCATTAAAATACCCATAACTCCATATATGCAGGACATTGCATGCATTTGTACGTAAGTTAACCACTAGTATACAGGGTCTAGTGCTGTTTAACTAGTCATGGTCTATACGCATGGTCTATACAATCTACTGCAGATGTGCAACATTGTGGTATTTATGCAGACAGACAGACCAATTCAGAGGTGGTGCAGCCTCCCCCCTCTCCCCAAGTAATTACAGTAACATAAACTTACCTCTAGACTGAGCAATTCTTTGAGACTTTTAGCGTTAATTACAGAAAGCTGTGTAGGGAAAAAAAGGGATCAAGTCTTAGTTATATTCAATCAATCTTCAAAATCAAACGCGGCATACTAAGTTATCTTCAATGATTACCGCTCAGCTGTCACATTGCGACACATGCTTTCCATAAAATTCATTCTTATTTGATCTAACAAACTCTAAAAAACGTTTTTCTTAACATTTAACATGTCTCAATCAAATGATAACTGTCTTATAACTGTCTTTTAAGCCTAATAATTCTTAATGTGAGGAGAAATCATCTTTCTTACCTTCATGTTTCCCTTAGCGATCGTTCAATGTCCAAAGATGGCTGCAAGTGCAAAGATCAAGGTTTTCAAATCGGGATCCCTGTGACATTTCCATAGGAAACCCATAATTAACGACAATTATCTTATCGATCACGCAAAACAAAAGTTTCTGAATCACCAACCATCTTTTTGCAAACTTCATTGACAGGTATAAATAATTATTAAATAAACTTACCTTGAAAAATCGAAGTGTGTTGCGTGATTCTTTTTGTCGACGTTGGGCTGCCTGTTGTGTTTATTCTTGGTGGGCAGAAGCCTGGTGTGGTGGGGTAATAAAAGAGATACGAGGTAGTGGTCAGGAGTTTGGCTTTTTGTCGAGGGTCGAGGGTCGAGGGTAGCATGTCGAGTGTCGAGGGTAAACATGTCGAGGGTCGAGGGTAAACATGTCGAGGGTCGAGGGTCCAGAAAAACCTACCAGAACTTCTCACAAGTCTTTTACGAAAACAGAATTTTAAAAAATCACAATCCATATTTACATCAGGTTTGTAGCACGATTCTAGTACCTTATCGCGAATGTTTTGATCATCGAAGAAGAGTTAGAGTCAGGCGCCATTTTTTTCTTTCGACCGCGCGAGACTGGCCTGACAAACAGGAAACCCGAACTGTCTACATGGGTTTCCTGTGGTCAATAGCTTAAATATGGCGGCGGTTTGTTGTTTTTTAACATACACTGGCTTGAAGAACTGGAACTAGAACTGGAACTAATCTAATCTATACTACTGAAGTGGCGCCTTCTCAATCGTTGAGTATAGCAAAGAAATCTGGAAGGCCAAAAAAGGTAAGATTTAGAAGTCTTATGGTAGAGATATCTACATTTTTCACAATAAAGTCGTCATAGTCAAAGGCTATAAACTAAGCTTAAGCTTAATGGACCTCGTTTGATATTGCTTTTTTGAAGTTTTTAAGCAAAAATAATTTTGCTCCACTCCACAGGTTAAAGTTTTAAAATATTTAAAAGTATTTACAATAATGAAACTTTTGAAATTTACAAGAAAATAGTTGTCAATATCATGACAACGTGTCCATCTAAACAACGATAAAAAGTCTATAAAAGTATAATCGTAGCGTCTGCAATATGTGTGTAAAGAGCACAATTACCACCAGCTCTGTTGAAATCATAAGAATAACCCAGGATAAGGCGTCGAGCTTTAAATAGCTGGATCACCTATTTTTAAAACATCATGAATTAACTATGGGATGTTTGTCAATGTTTTCAGTGGGTAGCTCTTGGCAGTAACTTATCTCACCATGATCCAGCAACCATTTGAGAAAATGGACACCCTAGAGAAAAACAACTCATCTCTGCTAAGATTCATAATTTGTTTTTTTTTACTTAAATAAGTTAAGTGTAATATGTTAAATTTTTTGTAAGTAAGATTGATTGATTAAATAATTGGATTGATTGATTGGTTAAATGATTGGTTGATTAAATTGTTTGCTTGATTGAATGATTGTTTGGTCTATTGGGTGAGTGATTGCTTTAATGAGTGATTGATTGATCAAATGATTAGTTGATTGTTTAGTTGATGATTAGTTGGTTGATTGATTGGTTGCTTGATTGAATTTGATTGATCAAATGATTGAATATTTTGTTTTGTCTTTCTTAGAAAATGTGCAATGCTTTTGTTTGCACTCTTGATGAACCATGAAAAACCAATAGCTGGCCTTTACACAAAGTTGGAGAGCCTAACTAAAATACAAGGTTTTTTTAAGCGACTGCTTTCATAAGGTACTCAGCAGACACATGTGCTTAGAAAACAAGCCTTTATTTATTCCACAGGAATCCCAGTCCACTAAAATCCAAAATATAACAAACTAGACGCTTTGTAAAGCGTGATGCGGGCTAGCTTAGCAAAAGATTGACAATACAAGATAAAAATTGTATCTCCAATGAATATTGTGACTATGACGTAACTATATATGAAAGTAAAATATGCCGATGAATACCTTAGTTTTCTTTGCAGTTCAATTCTTATCGTTAACCTTCACTGTCTGCTATAATCTTATCATAAGCTATATCAACTATCAACCATAATCTTTGTGCTATAGTGATTGTCCTACATTTGCAATGTATTTTGTAAAAATATTTATGGAAGCTCTTTACTTCTTGGTTAGCGATATCACATCTATTATTATTTACATAACAATGCATTTTAGATGGCATGAGTGCATTCTTTAAATTTTGTTTTTATTAGCCTTTCTTTCGTACAAAAGAAATCTAAAAATTGAAGCAAAACAAAGCTCAATTTCAAAACTTGTACTTTGTCATTTTTAACTAATAAAAAAACCCGATGATATTAAAGCAATTTCTTTGAATTTAAACAATAAAAACATTGTCAACTAAACAGAAGAATACCTTTTGCTGTCTATAAATGTGGTAAAAAAGCCAGTATTTGAGCTGATTTCATGTTGAAGCTGTACTGAATAATCATCGAGCTGGACTGGTGAGGAAGGCGAGACTATTTTCGATGCAAAATCGTCTTAAAATGATAACTAGCAAGCTTGAAACTTCACAAATGCAAAATCCTAGTTCAATTCTTCAATGAGAAAGCTTTTGGTATTTCTTGTTGATAGTTTTTGAGTACTTTTTTCTCTGTTATCGGCGAAGTACCCGCCATTTTGGATTCTTGAGAAAATTTTCAGTTCGAGAGAGACTGCAAACTAATAGATATGGCTTCMTGTGGTTCGAGAGAGACTGGAAACTTCGACGCGACAGATTGCGAAGGTAAAACTATAGCTGGCTAGCACAGCTAGCCCGCTAATAAAGTGTGGACACTTCATGAAAAACAAGACAACTATGATATATTCTATAGTAAGAAAAGTATCTTAAACTGTAAATTTTTTGTTAGGATTTATAAAATTCTTGAAATTCTAGATTTTTAAAATTCTTAAAATAAAATAACTATGCAACAACAACATTGAGGTCCCAGCATTCAATTACTGATCGCTCATGGCTATTCAAAGATTTATAAAGTTCTGAACTTACATACACTGTACCGTTAAATAGAGGATTCTTTTTTTGGATGTGACTTTGGACAGGGTGATAATAAGTGTTGGAAAAGTCTGCGCTGTATGTTAAATGGCCTTGGACAGTTTTTCCAGAAACACATCTGTCCATATGTTTAACAATGATGTTGTAAGGTGTTTTCCTATATTTTTCAACAAACTGGGCTCCACACCCATAGCATTTTTTCACATTGGATTGAAGACGTACCACCTCATACACATTGGGCGACATGCCTGAATGCCATTGAGAAAGGGGGTAACCAGCAGGTTGGTTTGCACTGCTGTTACTTATGGTACTGCTGAAGTTGTTTCCCATCTGAGGTGTTGGAGGGAATTGGCTGCTGTTATTTATGGTACTGGTGCTGAAATTGTTTCCCATCTGCGGTGTTGGAGGGTATCCACTGCTGTTATTAATGCTACCGCTGGAGTTGTTTCCTATCTGAAGTGTTGGAGAGTATGCGAATGAAGACGAGTTGACACTTTCTCTGCTTTTTGGGTTTTTTTTTTCTGTTAGCACTCCTTTTCTTCCCTTCAGTTGGTCGAAAAGATGAGTTGGGCTCTATATGGAATCCACTCTGACTATCCTGAAGCAATTCCTTGCCCAGTCTTTTGGCTTTGTTTATCTCTCTGACATGGTTTTTTCTTTGTCTGTCAGCAAAAGAAGGGCCTGTCCCTGTACATATGCCATTGGTATACTGTTTTATTTCAACTTCCAGGGTTATAGAGTCCCGAACATCTGCTTGGCAAACATCGAGAAGGCTCAAGTTCTGCCTATCTCGATGGGCCCAGCCAGCATGTATCACCTCTGCCTGGTTCATCTGGGGCGCATTTTGTGGGGCGAATGCACGAAAAATAAAACCCCGTCTGTTGTGCCACCATTCAATCCACGTTTTCAAAAAACTTCGGTTTTCCCTCTCACTTATGAAAGTGTCCATTTTGGCTTTAGCTGCATTATAGCAACTCTCTGTTTGAGAGAGTAGCATCTCATCACATAAAAATTTGAATTTGTCTGCACTTTCTTCATCAAGCTTCTGTGCTTTTTTGTTGCGATGATCCTTGTAATGAAATTCACAGGACTTGATCTTTGATTTTATATCTGACCCAAACACATTGCAGAGGCCAGCCAAATTTGCTCCTGCCATATCTGTACACCATCCCACAGGCCGAAACTGATATTCTTTATTGTCACTAACTTTTTGTAGTACTTCATTAAATAATGTCCAAAATAATGTCACATTTTCAGTGTCTTCGGAAGGAGCCTCCATTGTTGCTAATACCACTTGTTTTCTTAAAAGTGGGTGATAAACACTTGCTGTCAAGGTTACAAAGCCTTTACAGCGCTTTCTTTCCCATCAAAGAAACAAAACTCTTGGTTTAAAAAGTGTTCTCCTTCCCTGTCCATATTTAAAGCAATGCCAGCTTTTATCTTCCCCATTTTGAACACAAAAGAGGGTAGGTCTGGATTGCCTCTATTGTCATTGGCTTTGTATATAAAGAACTTGTCTTTCTGATCGCAATACTCCTTAAATGTTATCACTGCTTCGAAGTCATGCCCTACAGGCTCCATGTCTCTTTTGCTTTGCTTCTTTATGTTCGATATCCATTTTCTGTCAAGACTTGCCTCAACCTGCTTTTCAACTTCACTCCAGTTGTCTCTTTGCCTGAATGAAGACATAATACATGCAGACTGTATTTTTGATGGTTTTAAATTCGGGTTTTCTTTTATTATTCTTTCAATGTGCCCTTTTTCTTTTGTATGTTCCTTTCTAGCAGGACAAGTGTGTTTACCCCAGTGGTATATTTTTACATGTTTCTTCATAAAACTAATATATCTTCGTGCGCTGCAAGGAACAAATGTAGCTTTTTGACCACATCCTTTACATACTGTTTGATTCTTTTTCTTGGGTGGCAAGGGTGGTCTAGTGGTTAAGCTACTGGCYTYTCAYYRCTGTGGTCCGGGTTCGATTCCTGGGCACGGACCATATGTGAGTTTGAGTTTGTTTGATGTGTTGTTCTCTCCCTTGCCACGAGGGTTTTTCTCCGGGTCCTCCGGTTTTCCTCCCTCAGTAAAAATCAACATGTGAGGAGTGTTGTSTGCTMAAATAMDTAATGTAGAGGTAGTGAGTGTGAGTGTGAGGGCCACAAGTTCATCAGTTCTTTACTGTCACGTGTTTACCCTCTTAAAATAAAGTCGATTTATTTATTTTAAACTGCTGGGTGTTAAATATACCATACTCTACTCTATAGGGGCAATCCTTTACTTCACATTTGTGAAATCCCCTACAGTCTGCATATCGAACCCTTTCATGACCCTTCCAAGAAGTGGGGCAGTTCTTCTTCCATCGCCTCCCATCTTTTAGAACATTTTGTACTTTTTTGTCATTGGCCTTGGTGTTGATGACATATACTTTAAGGCCATCTATACCCTCTGGCAATTTGTCAACGTCTACCTCTTCCACATTCTCCCAAACGTCTTCACCAATTTTCTTCTGCTTTTGGTCTTTTTCAGTCAGCTTGCGAGGATGGAAACTTGGGATGTCATCATCTGACATTTCATCTGTGGTAGATGCATCAGAGCTACTGTAGAAAAGATAATTGTTTCTTTTATATGTTTACAACTTGTTTATTATTTGTTATACAAAGAGCATGTGCAAGAATCGGGAAATCTGCGTTTGCATTAATTTTTCACCTACTGGTACATATATACTAGCAGTGCCTTTGAACTCTTACAGACATATTAATCAACAATCATAACAATCATTAGATGTTATTAAGTATTTTGTAAAGCTATGGGGATACCTTGTTGGTTCTTCATCAGAACTCAATGTAAGTGTAGGTACTTCTGTATTCCTTCAGAAAAAATTTTTTTTAGAAACAATTTAATTCCAATTACATGGCACTGCATGCTATATCATAAAGCTTTTGTGCAAGATTTAACTGATACTGTGAATCATGTTCAATTTTTCAACAATACATGCACATGTACTCTACTTAATATATTACAGACATAACAACCATCAAGAGTGCACAGTAGATGTGGAGTATTTTTTATAGCTATGGGGTTACCTTGTTGGTTCTTCATCAGAACTCAATGTGAATTTGGGTACTGCTGTTCTCCTTCAGAAAAAAAAACATAGAAATCAATGTCATTCCAATTAATCTTGAAGTTAGAGAATATTGAGGATTGTGAGCAGTAAACTTTGTCAATTGGTCTTTTCCAATATAATGTATAAAAGAAGACTTCAATTATATAGCAATAAAGAATCAAGCTGTGAGCAGTAAATTGTAATTCCATTTACATATATATTACCTTTGCTTGGGATTGCTTTCATGAGGATTTGATGGCTTTGCCCTTTTTTTAACAGGAGTACTTTCTGTAGAGCTTAATCCTCCCATGGATGAGACAAGCTCATCCATTGCTTCGTCACCCTAAAGAATAAATATTTCAGTATTTTTCAGCATACACTATAATTCTAATAAAAACTGAAGAGAAAATTGAAGTTTAAATTTAAAAATTACAGTAACTCATAAAATATTGCAAGCAAACCATGCACTCACCCTAGAATGTGCATCTGCTTCCTCATCAGAGGACACAATAATCACAGTGTCAGTAGTTTTCTGAAAGTAAAAATTTAAAGATTTAAAAGGGACTTTAGTCCTGTCAATCTAGAGAAATTTGCACCTCAACCAGCTGACAAAATTTAAATTAATCTTGAATATAAGAATTTGACTCAAAAAATTTTTTTTCACAGGATTATTCATCAGCTTCTGGTTTTAGCCTCGTTTCCATGCTTGAGATTTATGCTTTTTCTGTTGCAACAAAAAGTCACTATCAAGCACCCTCTGTCTCCTAGGATTTACGGGGACTTTTTTTTCTGGTAGTCACTTTGATACTAACGGACATGTATTTGTGAAAAAAAACCCTTCTGTTGCAATTAGTGGCAAGCAATTCCATATATTGACTGGACTATTATTACCCGAAACCCTCACCAAAACTAGATACAATCGTTTCCAAAATACCTTGGACCGTACAATTATTTGCCTTCAGCCTAACATTTTTCTCCTTTATTTTTTGACAGTTTTCCCCTGTAGCCCCCTTTCATCAATGTTGGGTCTTGTTTTGGATGCTTGTGTACTATGGTAACATGATGAATGACAACATTGCATTTAGGGGGTCAGGGGGGATGAAATTGTGTGCGGGTGTTGCTTAAAATGAGGAAATTCGCTGGAATGGTCCAAGGTTTTTGTCAACGATTGTAGATACTATCAGTAGATACTATGAAGATTCCATCGTAAAAATAGTATTTATTGACATTGAATTGCCAGTGGCAGATTTAGGCCCAGGCCCCTCTCTAGGATAAAAATTCCCATACTTGCTTTTTTAAACAAATCTTCTAAAATGAAAAATGACAGGTGAATTAGCTAGTTTCCTAATAAATCCACTAATTTTAGTAATAAATTTTTATTTGATATGTTCTCCAAGCAATCTGTCATGCAAAATTCCTGCCAAAGTTTTCGCCATTTTAGTGCCCTCCCATCCCCTCCCCCCCTTAATAAAATTCTGGATCCACTGCTGAATTACCTCATACATGTTGATCTGTGCTGGTTGCAGAACTTGATTTTTCCAAAGAGTTGCACCCGGACAGAAATCCTCTGGGTCCCAGGACTCGAACTCCCTTTTCATCTTCTGACTGAAATTGTCCTGAAAAGCATGGATGCACATAATGTAAGATGATGGCATTAACATAAAATTTATACTTAAATACTTTTTTTGGCATAAAATCCTCATTTTAAGTCATTTGTTTGTGCCACCCATTTTTTTTTTAACTACTGCCAATTCTGTAAAAAGTGGGCAGACTTTTTAAGACCTTACAGTTTATAAAAAAGTGGAATTTCTATTTTTTAGCTTTTAAAATGAAATGTTTTT